GACTGTGATCCAGCATGGGTCTGGTTTTGTTTCTATATCGACTAAACATATTTTCTCTAGAGGAGTCGGATCATCTTTCCAGTGTAGGGTCATACAGATCGTGAAAACTTGGTCTGTTTCATGTTTTGCTTCTGGTAATTCACTCAATCCTCATGAACTATGTGTTTCTATATCCCATATTATAACCAATGCTCGATCGCGAATAAAGAGAGAAGATGGGTAGATTTTGTAAAGTGATTCGAAATTGTTTATGGAGCAAAAGTTATCAATATGGACATAAAATACATATGGACAAAGATGGAATTTCACATAATAAGGTGCATTAAAATTATATCTTTAGTCGCTTATTAACCCTTATCCAGAAAGTGGTATCCTATATTCTCTCGCAACTTTACGATAATATGTGCCTGTATTATCTGAAGCTGTCTCTATTTTACATTTGGTATTAACCTTTGAATTATAAATTGAGATGATATCAAGAGCGGTAAACCTTTGGTCTTTATTAGGTGTAGTGATGTGAAGATATGGCTTTTTTTCTGAATAATAACCACAGAGAGGGCATGCCTTTATACATTCCTTTTGGATTAAACTCATATTTATGGAGCCTCCCTTGTTGTCTTTCCCAGTAGTAAGTATACTCTTTATTTTGGACCAGAATTTAGGGATGCTTGCATTGTCAAGAATACGAATATCGAAAATATCTTGATACCAGTAATGGTGACAACTGCTTTCTGCCTATTAACGAGATATCCATAAAGGCAAAGAATATAATAAAGGATTTGATTAATATATTCTTTAGCTTCTTCTATATCAACTAGCATAAATGGAATATCGAGATAGTTTGCTATTTTATCATTAAGAGTTGAAGTCGATTCCTCATCATTTCTCGCAACTAATTCATTACAAGTTGGGATGCCTATCAAGTAATTTTTACCTGAATAACGAATTACACGAGCAATTTTATCTTTTGCAAATTCTTGCCTAAGGGCGGGCTGTCCAAATTCTCTGAAAGCTCAGATTGGGTCATGGTAGTATCGGATATTTTTTTGTAGAAATACTAAATCTGTATAGAAAAAGTTTTTAATTTCGACTAAAAAGTAACTGACATCAATTTATAGTATAAAAAGAAATTATCTTAAAAGATAGCATTTTATCATTGTGAATACATTCTTAGAAGCGGAGAAGTCTGTAGACAGGGTAGTTATAGGCCTGAAGGATGCGGTTATCACTAGAAATCCCCAACATGTACCATGTAAGGAGTGCAGTGAAATTACATCTTCCGCATATAGTATGTACAAAAAACATGCAGAGAAGTACCGAAATATGGAATACTATTATCGGCAAAAGCTTGCAAAAATCCAGAATAAATTCCACCAGCAAACCATCTCAGAAAACCCGTCCTAGTTTGCTAAGACGAGCTGGAATGGAAACTTGGACAGAAAAATATAGCTAAATAGTGATATTAAGCTGAATTAAAGGGAATTTGAAAGAAAAAAGAATATATGGGATTAGTTAAAAGTAGAATGGATTTGGTCAGTAAATCTATCTCAATAGCGAGTATAATCAAAGATGTTTTGTCCTCGACAAAGGATACGAAGGAGCGTGTCGAAATGGCTAAAATCTTAGATCCTTTTATTAATTTATCATATGATAATTTTATAAAAAAATACAGTTCTGTCTGCTTTACCTATGATTCTTTAAATTCAAAGCAGAAAGCCATTAAATTGTATATGAATTCATTCTATGGTAGACCAACTTGTGAAAGAATATATTGTACCTTTCTATATATTTCACAAGCTTACTAGGGTACTTCGCAAAA